TTAAGACCGGCTGAGACCAGTGCACAATAATATTATCGAATATTATTATTAATCTTTTGTCAAATGTGGTTTGTGTTTTATTATAGCTTTTATATTCACCTTACATTTTTAAAGTTGGGTAAAAAACAGACAATAAAATGATTATATTATATATTTGGTTTCTTCTTTTTTCTGCAAATGATGTCTTCTTCATGATATCTAAGTGTAGAATGAGAATGAAGAGTGTTAAGGGAGCAGGTGCAGTTCTGAATGTGTTTGGACTTTGTGTTTAAAAGAATACAGAAATCAACAGAAACAATTGAATATTTCTTTGAAAAAAAAAAACTTGTTCTGTTTTTCTGATACTTGATTTGCTCTTTTATACATACTGATGTCATCACCAGCTTTTGAGGAACGGGGATCCACTACTAACGGGGATCAGTTTCACTTTCACTTTTAGTCCCGGAGCGCCGTTGCTGCTGGTCACGTGATCAGTGTTATTGTGATGCTGCTGCTGTTTGAAGCGCTGCTGCTGAGAAAAACCTCAGACGAGCCTCGAGACACTTTTCTCTCCTGTTCAGGTGATTCACCCACAAATGAAGCGTTATGCTGTTCTTATGATCTAAATCAGCTGCAGTGGAGACATTTAGGAACGATCATTTGATTATTAAGGCTGGTTTAACCGTAAGTTCACTTCGTCCTATCAGTAACGTTACTGTCCGGCAGAATCGCAGTGATTTGTGATGATCTTTCTTCACTGCTAAGTTGCTGTATAGACTTCAGTCTGAATCAGTGCTTAATCAATCCTGCTTAACTCTGATGATCAAAAAATAGCAGCTATACTCAGTAAACTGTGATTTATAAGCTTCATTTGATGATGTGATTTATAAGGCGGGTTCATTTGATGTCTGTCAAAGAAAAGGTGGTTAAATACACAGGACTACTTAAAGATGAATAAGCTGACCTTTCTGGACCACATTTAGTGCACTCACTGCCCAAATACAGTATTATGTGGCATATTACTGATGACATATAGAATCAGTTGTGTTCCATATTTATCAATGGGAACATTTAAAACTATCTAAAATATTTTAGAAAGGGGGTTCAGATCTTCCCTCGCTCCTCCCCAGTTTAGCCTCTGACCTCCAGTACATATTGTACGCTACAGAAAGACTATGGTTCATTCAAAGTTGTAAATGATTCTGTACTGAAAGAAAACCTGCTCAGCTTAACCAATGCAACTCTAACAAAACATTCAGCTCATCTGAATCAGCAGAGATTTTTACAGCAACACTAAAAGTGATAATGTATTTAACCTGCTAACCTACCTGAGACTGAATAGCTAAAACCACAGTAGACACTCGGTAGCCTAAATAGTGCTGTTAAGAAAGGGAAGTCAGCAACCAGAAAGTCGTCAGTTTGAATCTCAGACTGTCTGGACATTCTTGTTTGAACATAGTCAGCCTGCAGTTGTACACTTGGCTAAGACACGTAACCCCTACTGCCCCAGGCAATGATGCTCTGCTGCTTCTAGACTAAACTTACATACTATAGTATCAGTGCTGTCATGCTTAATCCTTCCATCTCCATTTTTGTTTTTTTTGTTTTTTACATTTTCTTGCATGGCCAGTTACCTCTCACATTAATGTACCAAATTAAATGAGAAATTATCCAAAAATACTTGAGAAAAAAATATGTTACATTAAGTTCCATTATTAATGGAACATTTTTCCTTCCGCTGTAAATTTACCATTTTGGAAATATGAGGCTTCGATTCAACAGCGCTCATATAAAATATTTTTTAAAACATGAACTTTTCACTGTCTTAAAATACTAAGATTCTGTCTGCAGTACCTTTCACACCCAGTAGGGGCATCACAGCACAGCAAACTCTGGAGAACATGGCAAATGTACAATGTTTAGTTGATTCTGTTCTCCACACATCTTGGTATCACAGCAAGAGGTGTATTAGTTTTTTATTTATTTATTTTTTTTTTAATTGAATAAGGGTTAAGACAAGATTTAAAAAAAAAAAGCATTCACTTTCGTTTCTTTTATTAGTTGCTATGCAGTGACCATTTACAGTTTTAATGCAAGTTCATGCTGAAAAATGCACATTACTCTCTCTCTCTCTCTCTCTCTCTCTCTCTCTCTCTCTCTCTCTCTCTCTCTTAGGAAGTGATGAGTGTTGAACACAGAGCATTGTTCAGTCAGACAGTCATTAAGGGGACAGTATGGAGTTCAGGTCTCTCTCTGTAATACTCTGTGAGTAAATGTTCTCTTTATGTCTTCATTAGAGTGAGAGCTGCTGTATGAAGGTGTTAATACTCAGTCTGAGTACAGACTCTATCTGACATGAACTGAATCTTCAGCTCCAACTCTGCTCGACTCACCCAGGCTCATTAATACTACCTGTAATACCAGCTAACATTTCATATGAATGCATCATATCCTCTGTTTCTACCTCTACTTTAGTGCTGATTGTCCTCATCTACTGTGAAGAAACTGAAGGTGAAGCATACATAAACATAAATAAACAAACATAAATAAACTAAATATGAACACATTGTCTCTTCATACTGAATGATGTGTTGTAGACTGATTTATAAATACTGATATGAATAGGCCGCGTGCTGTCTCTGTGCAGGTCCTTCTGTTTTTGATATTTGGAATATGACACATAAGACACCAAATGTAGCTACAATTTCATTTCTGTTATTTCATTGCAGCAAACAAGAGAAAGGTGAATGCATGGAAGGCTGCTGATTCCTACTAAATTAATGCAGTAAAATGCAAGCTATGAACTTTTGGTCAAGTACATAAAAAACTATGAGATAAATGAGTAGATAAATAAGGTTGTGTTTGGACCTGGTTAAAGAACAGCAGGATTATTCTAGAGTTGAATAAGGCCATATGACAGACAAGTGACAGATACATGACTGAGCGAAACCTGTGATATATCTCAATGTGTCTTCTAAATTAATTAACAGAATGTTTAAAGAAGTATTTCATGTTGTTCTTGTAAATTAGAGTAGCAGTTAAATGTGTACATTCCATGTGCTATTATTTAAAAACAAAATAGTTTATTTTTACATAGATGTGAAAACAAACTTCATCAATGGACTTTTTGTTCTGAGCATATTTTATTTCCACAGAGAGACCAAAAGCTGTGGTGTCCATACAGCCTGATAAACAGGTGTTTATAGGAGAGACTGTCACTCTCAGATGTGTCGTACAGCTGGTTTAAAGATGCTTCATCCACTCCTGTCAGTAATGAACAGCAGTACAGAATCAGCTCTGTTACAGAGTCTCACAGAGGAAAATACACCTGTAGAGGAACAGAGAGAGGAACATCACGCTACTCACACACCAGTGATGCTGTTACACTGACTGTATCAGGTGAGTGTGATCATCTCTTCAGTGTTCAATAATCTCAGTATCACAGCAACACAGATGAGACCAGATGTTTAGTTTGTGTGATTCATTAAGGGAGAGACGTTATAAACCAAAATCATGGTACAGTATCACTGTTACACTCACTGTGAAGGTGAGCGCATGACCTTTTACTTTTTTATGTCTTCCACATATAAATTCAGGTGTTAGAGTGTAAGACAGGGGTGTTTAATCATATGTGAAAAAAGCCTGTGTAGCTGCAGGATATCATTCCAACAAAGCAGTGATTCCAATTGTTTGAACAAGTTGAACCAGGTGTGCTCCTGCAGGCTTGGAATGAAAACTTTCAGCGACCCTGTGTGGATAAGATTGGACACTTCTGATTTAAAATAACCTTAGTGTTTTAGTGACATTTTCAGAGGTTAAAATAACTTAATGTGAAAATATTCCCTGTATATTGTGCTCTCTCCTCTGTTCACACAGCTTTACCCAGAGCTACACTGACTGTAGAGTCCAGATGGAGTCCTATGTTCACTGGAGAGTCAGTCACTCTGAAGTGTGAGATAGAGTCTTCCAGTGACTGGAGATATCAGTGGTATAAAGGCAGCAGTAGAACTGCAGTCAATCAGTCTCAGACAAACACCTTCACCATCACATCAGCAGCAGATCAGGATCAGTACTGGTGTAGAGGAGAGAGAGATTACAGACCCACATCATCACAACACAGCAATACTGTTACTCTCACAGTGAAAGGTAAGGTTACTGCTTTTGTACTGTCACTGTAAAATGTGTTTTTAATAAAAACATTTAATTGCAAAATTAGATTTGTGGTACCAACATATAACAAATTTAAAATACAGTTTATCAGTACTGTTCTTGGAAATAAATACATAAAAATACAAATATTTATAGGTGGTTCAGTTGCTTCTAATTAGAGTTTTGTGTATTGTTTCTGTTAAAGCTTTATTTATGTGGCATTTACTAACATCATTGGATTTCTGCAAAATTAGGTAATGTGTACTGACACATAATAAAGTTTTTAATACAGTATATCAATCCTTTTTTGGGAATAAGACTTTATTTTTACCTCAAAGGTTGGTTTAGTGATTTATAATCAGTGTTCAACATTTCATTCTGTTCCTAAAGCCTTGAATATGTGACTGTTTTTCAGCTGAGCCTCCTCAGCAAATACACATGTTACTATACAGATAATACTTCAGGAAAATCATTGTACAAAATGTATGTAAGTATAATATTTCACAGTGTTTGTTTAATCTAAGTGTATTTAGGTGAAAACACAAATTACAAATCTGAAACCAGTGTTCTCAAATAGACATTAAAGTACCTGTAGGAGCCTAAAGCTCCTGTGTAGTGGATCTCAGTGCCCAGCAGATTTTCATTCAGACAGTAAAACTACTTAGTATACATTAACAAAGTGATTTAAGGAAATGGTCTGTTTCATGTTTATCTTAGAAAGATTAAACATTATTTGTGCTGGTAACAATTAGACATATGGATGTGCATTTTGTGAGTTACTACTGAAAAACATTATTAATTATAGTGTAAACATTCAAGCATAACATCATCAGAATAATTTGTTCTGACCATATTTTATTTTGATTCCACAGAGAGACCAAAAACTGTGGTGTCCATACAGCCTGATAAACAGGTGTTTATAGGAGAGACTGTCACTCTCAGATGTGACATACAGGGAGAAGGAGTCTCTGACTGGCAGTACAGCTGGTTTAAAGATGATTCATCCACTCCTGTCAGTAAAGAACAGCAGTACAGAATCAGTTCTGTTACAGAGTCTCACAGAGGAAAATACACCTGTAGAGGAACAGAGAGAGGAACATCACGCTACTCACACACCAGTGATGCTGTTACACTGACTGTATCAGGTGAGTGTGATCATCTCTTCAGTGTTCATTGACCTCAGTATCACAGCAACACAGATGAGACCAGATGTTTAGTTTGTGTTTTTATTAATGAAACTGACTCTAAATCCTCTGAATATGCACTGTTGTTCTCTTCTTTCTGTAGATCTACCCAAATCTACACTGACTGTAGAACCAGAGAGTCCTGTGTTCAGTGGAGAGTCAGTCACTCTGAAGTGTGAGATTAAAGGTTATGATGGATGGACATATTAGTGGTATAAACAGGATAAACAGAGTAGATGGGCTGCAGTGTCTCACTCTGTGTATTACACTGTAAACAGAGACACTCTCACCATCAGAGAAGATGCTGTGATTAATGGAGATCAGTATCGTTGTAGAGGAGAGAGACGCAGCAGACCAACATCATCACAGTGCAGTAACTCTGTTACACTCACTGTAAAGGGTGAGTTCATAAATATTGTTAGATTTCTGTAACACTAGATTATTAATATCAGCAACTCACAAGTTGGGCAAGTTTTTTTAAGTTTTTAATTATTTTATTTAATGTTACAAAAGGACATTTTTAATATTGCATTTAGTCGAATATCAAATTGTGCAATGTACATCACTGTGCAAAACTCAGAGGTACCTAAACAAAACAGTAAGTGTGCTTTTGACTGTAAAACACTAATATCACAATGAATACATATAATCATTAATGCAGTAAAAAGTAACAAACATTCTTGTTTTTAAAAAGTGGTTGATGTCTTGTGAGCTTGTTTGAGAAACAAAGTTTGATTCCAGATTTTTCCAGCTATCAAAAACTTTGAAAGAACATTGAAACTAAGTATTGGCTGGTAACTACAAATGCGACCAGTCTGTCACAAAGAGAGGTTTGGAAATGATTAAGTAAACACATAGACATATGTGAAATCACCACTTTCTGTATTAATATTGTTTGTAATTATACTGATTTTGGTGTTTTTTCTGGGCTAACAAGCATTTGCAGAATAATTAAACAGTTGAAACACTTTTGCTTGGGTGCCTAAGGCTTTTTAACAATATTGTAAATATTTCAGTTTGTTATTTTTACAAGTCAACCCATCAACTAAAAAAAGCTACTACAAAGTGAAGACTAAGATTTCTACAACATGTTTTATTACTGATGGAATAGTGTAAGCTGCCTGAGTTATTCTCTCTCCTCTCCTCTGTTCCCACAGCTTTACCCAGAGCTACACTGACTGTAGAACCAGAGAGTCCTGTGTTCAGTGGAGAGTCAGTCACTCTGAAGTGTGAGATTAACACTCATGATGGTTGGACATATCAGTGGTATAAACAGAATAAACAGAGTAGATGGACTGCAGTGTCTCAGTCTGTGTATTACACTGTAAACAGAGAAACTCTCACCATCAGAGAAGATGCTGTGATTAATGGAGATCAGTATCAGTGTAGAGGAGAGAGACGTTACAGACCAACATCATCACAGAACAGTAACTCTGTTACACTCACTGTAAAGGGTGAGTTCATAAATATCATTAATTGTCTGCAAAAGCTTTTTTTCTCAAGTTTTTTTCTTTTAAGTTTTTAATTATTTTAATGATTTTATTTAATGTTACATAAGAATGTTTTTAATATAGCATTTAGGGAATATAACATTACACTGTGTATATCACTGTGCAATAGACTTTTGACTGTAAAAACACTGTATAACATCACAATAAACACAAATAATTACTGTTTTACTGTATTAATACTATTTGTAACAATTCTAATTTTGGTGTTTTTCTGGCAAATAAGTGCTTGAAGCCCAGTTAAATAGCTTCTTTTTTTGGGGTGCCTAAGACTTTTGCACAGTACTGTATATATTTCAGCCATTTTTCCTTACAAGCCAAACCTTCAACAAAAAAAAAAATAATAATAATAATAAATAAAAATTTAAAATACTCTGATGAGATTTCTACAACGAAACGCTTAATTACTGATGAAGTAATATAAACTGTGTGAGTTATTCTCTCTCCTATGCTCTGTTCCCACAGCTTTACCCAGAGCTACACTGACTGTAGAACCCAAATGGAGTCCTGTGTTCACTGGAGAGTCAGTCACTCTGAAGTGTGAGATAGAGTCTCACAGTGACTGGAGATATCAGTGATATAAAGGCAGCAGTAGCACTGCAGTCAATCAGTCTCAGACAAACACCTTCACCATCAGATCAGCAGCAGATCACGATCAGTACTGTTGTAGACGAGAGAGAGATAACAGACCCTCATCATCACAACCCAGCAATACTGTTACTCTCACAGTGAAAGGTAAGATAAGTAATTTTTATATCCTCACTGTAAATGTGAGTAATTACTGTGGTAAAGACTCTGAGATCATTGTGTGAACTCTTCATGGTCTGAACTGTGTGCTTCATCTCCAACAGCAAAAAAACCTAAACCTGAACTCACATCAAGCCTTAAAGGAGCTGCACTGATAGGAAATCCAGTGGTTCTGTACTGTGAGCTGGATCAGTCAGCTGAATGGAGGTTTTACTTGTTCAAACACACACAGAACCCTGAGAATGAGACCAAGACTGAAACTCACTCCTACACCATCAGCTCAGTCAGTGTCTCTGATGGAGGACAGTACTGGTGCAGAGCTGGGAGAGGAGACCCAGTCTACTACACTCACTACAGTGATGATCTCTGGATAAACACAACTGGCGAGTGACATAGTTAACAGTCTATAAATACTGCAGATTAAAGGAAAGTTTATTAGGTGTGTTTGTCATGTTAAGTTGAGATTATCCTTTCAAGAGAGTGTCACTTCTTTAGGTAGCACTAGCACCATCACAGTTACTGTAGTTATATTTCCAGAATACTGTGGACTTTGCTCTCTCATCCCATTCAGTCTTCAGTCTACGGGAGTTATGTCCATTCACAATAACTAGCTTTTGAGGGCTTGAATTTCAATCAAGTGATCCTCATATGCTGCCATAACTGATCAACCATTCTGTTGCAAAAAGGGCACTCCATGCCAACTATTTCCCTACAATAACCTGAGCATCACCCATCACTCCCATACACAGCCACTACTTTCTAACAGCCGTCCCTGCTCCATGTCCATTATGTTCAGGAAGTTATAATCTGCTTTTTACCTGCCATGTTCTCATATCTAACACTAACACAATCTGGTGTCAACTGAAAGTGTTTCCCTGTTGAGTCCTGGTTCCTCATGAAGTTTCTTCTTTGCAAGCTTAGGAATTTTTCTGCAGTCAAGGGTTCATACTTGGATGTCTGTTAAGCAGCTCACATTGATGTCACCACCAAACTTTTAAACTGAATCAAATTCATGTGCTCCCCCTTTTCCCTTATCTTACAAACCTTAAACATACTGTTTTACAAAGGGTCAACTCAAGTGACAGTTATGCAAAAGGTGAGGTCTGGCCTTCTAGTTCCAGTCAGAAGCCACCCAGAACTCCAGCCCAAGTTCTCAGGAACGTGGAACCATCCCTCCTTCCACAGATATGATGGGATCCACCCCAACCAACTAGTTTCACATATTTTAGGCCACAATATATTTATTTTATTTTGTTTTCACCTCCAAATGTCAGTTCTAGAAATCTTTGCTCAAAAACACCTGCCGGTAGTCGACTTGGGATCAGCAATATCACCAAACACAGAAATTTTCTGTGCTACCCCTCTGCTCTCAGCCTAACTCACAGGCCTCAAAATTTAAACCTTCTATAAACTGTTTAAAAGATGCACTTAGTTCAAATAAAGAAAAGGTCTAGACATAATTCACCAAAACCACAGGTGTGTACTTGAAAAGAATAAATTGGATCATTTGTAAACACTGATTTTGCACACTGATCCAGGTAATGTTGTGTTGACAGAAACTTGGCGTAGACACTCAGTAAGTGATGATTTTATTCTTTATAGAATGGACAGAGAAACTGCTATTGACAGTAAAAAGCATTGTACATTGCACTATGAAGACGTAATTTCTTGTTTGGGGGGTGTATTTTAAGCCTTTAGATTCAATCTGTCACTCAGCTCTGAGATTCATCACTGGTGACCTTTACAACACTCATCACTGTATGAAAAAGTCGGCTGGCCATCACTGACTGTATGACAACAAAACACACTGTCAATTTTATTTATTTGAATTATTTGTTTAAATGATTAGACTCATTCCAGTGTCTTGATCACTTTTCAGGTGCTGAGAGTTTTTACTCAACTGGGAAAATCTGGTTTTACCTGCCGGCTAGCTGGAATTTAGTACAGGACACTGCAAAGCACTATATTTGTACATGCATGCTCAGCTACACTGTAAATGAGGGTCACCTTCAATGTATTTGAGAGTGAAAATAAACATGATTGAAAGAGCAAAGAAAGCAGAACCAGCTTATCAAATAAAGTATGGCAATGCACAGCCACTGGTGAGAAAATGCAGTCCTGTTTTAGCATATGTGCACATATTGATCAAATTCTATCAGTGAGTGGTACGATTGTGTAGTAATCTTTATGCCCCTGCTGAGAAAAACAATATCTGTCTAATCTGTATTTTTAGATATGGCTCCTCCAGTCTCTCTGATGGTCAGTCCCAGCAGAACTCAACACTTTATTACTGACTCTCTGTCACTGAGCTGTGAAGGACAGAGTGACTCTACTGGATGGAGAGTGAGACGATACACACACACAGTGAGAAGGTGTCAGATTGTTCATCAGGCTGGGGATCAGTTACAGGATCTACATGCAGCATCAGCTCCCTCAGCACATCCCACACTGGAGTGTACTGGTGTGAGTCTGAATCTGGAGGGAGCAGCAATCCTGTCAACATCACAGTGCACAGTGAGTCCACAACATTATTAACACTGACTACTCACAGAATTCATAATTCAGTATTTATTTATTTATTTATTTATTTTAATTAGATGCATTCACTAGTCTCACAGGGCCAGCCATTATCTCATAAAATAATGTCTGGAGACAACAATGGATATAGTCTGTTTGGTTTTGGTGAAGTATCTTGTGAGTTCCAGGTGTACAGACAATATTTTGGTAGCTTGATGTACTTGCAGTAGTTGATTAGTCATTATCCTGTTTCATTCCTGTTTCCAAGGCCTGTAATTTCTAACCTTCGCATTCCAGTCCATCACCAGCAGTATGTCCTGTTTGCAGGTGTTGTCAACTTCAGCCTGAAATTCATCATAAAACTTTTAACAGTAACAGTAACAGTAACAGTAATGTTGACATTGTTATTGACAATGAAAACCACTCCATTTCCTCTTTATTGTTCATGACCTGAGTAGTAGATGGTGTGTTTCCTTTGATTGATATAGTCCTAATCCGGTCCATTTTTAGTTTGCTGATTCTTAGGACGATGTGTGAAGGATCTATTTCCATCTTCAGTACTGCCAACATATTACGATTTATACTTCTTCCACGCTGTTGTCACTTCTGTGATCATCCACCACAGACATTGCCTTATATTGCTGCTACCTAATATTAGGTGGTAGGTTTAATCTGGCACTTCTGCTAAGACATTTCTGCCATGGGAGACCTTGAAAGGAGTTAAAACTCCAGGCAGTATAGCTCTACCTCCCCAATGCACACAAGCATCCTGACCCTAATAAGGTACCATATACTCTTAAAAAAGATGGTTCTTCAAAGGTTCTTCAGTAAAGAGAATGGTTCTGTTTAGTTCTAAATAGAACCATTTCATGCTTAAATTGTTCTTTATATGGTGAAATAGTCCTTCAGACTGATGGAGAATGTGTTATAAGGTTCTATATAGCACCAACAAGCGTACTCCTTGTGTTACAAACTTGATATCATAGAGACTATAATAGCACATGAAGATTAAAGTAGTATTATTACAGTTACAAATCTGCAGTAAAGCCTGTTTTGATGTCTAAAATCTACTGAAAAACTTACCATGCATGTGAAACTGCTGGAAGAATTGGTATCCATCCTACAATTACATATTAGCTCATATCTGACACTACAGAGGTCACTGAGTTATTTCTGTATTCTTAACACTCTGTTTTAAGAATTGTGTTACTCTTTTCTACAGATGGTGATGTGATCCTACAGAGTCCTGTTCGTCCTGTGACTGAGGGAGATCCTCTGACTCTACACTGTTCATATCTCCACACAACGTCCTCAAACCTCACAGCTGAGTTCTATAAAGATGGATCACTCCTCCAGACTAAGACTATAGGAGAGATGACCATGACTTCACTGTATGATCAGTGAATACAGGCTTCTTAAAGAGAGAGGATTTCTATGAATCATGATGTATTCACTCTTGATTACAATAACTGTGAAGTTGAATTTCATAGGAAAGAACCATAGTTTTCTCTCTGTCAATAACATATTTATGTTTTTTTCCTTCCTCAATTGTTACCATGAAGGTGCGGGATCTTGGTCTCCCTCTACTGGAAATCAGCAGAACTTCAATCAGACATCAGTTTAGAGTCAGAATCCAGGAGTTTCTGCAGGCTGGTCAGTTTGCAGTTTCATTCCTCAATACAATTACAGTGACTCTTCATTGGAGATTTAAAGAGACAGCCATCAGCAGAATGTGATGGTATTTAGACAGAATCCTCTGTGTCCAGTTGATCAACTATTGGTAGTGTTGAATATTTTCACTGATTGAAAATAATCTAAATAGTGAAGATCTGTCATTGCAAAATGCTAAATGTTTGTCCAGTATTATTAATAGTATTATATCTATTTTCTGTGTAAAACTAAGGCTCTTATTAGCTCATTTACTCAATGAATATTCAAATATCCTGAACTCGCTGCTGAACAGTCTGTAAGAGTGCAGCGATGTGCAGTAGAGCATTGTGTGCTCTGATGCTTTGGCTGTTTGTATTGCTGAGTGATAATATATATTAAAATTGTACCTGTTGTCTACTAGTGTGAGTTTAACAAAAGTAGCACATTAGGTTCTTCATGCTGTATTTCTCTTTCAGTCAACTGAAAAGAAGTCAACATTTTTTTTCATAATTATGAATTACTTACAGCCAACAAGCCTTTCTTCTTTCCACAGTGGCAACAAAATGGAATACATGTTCTGGATGATACTTTTAATGATTCAGGCCTTTGGACAAACCAAAACTTGTATGCATTTTTATAGAATACCAGGTTCATTTTTTCTCTATCTTTGCCTTCCCTCTGTAATGAAGGCATACTGTGTACATTGGGTCTCCACTTTACACTTACACCCATTACATAAACTATTTTCTGCTAGCAAAAAACTAGAGGTTGTGTATCCAAAGTTTTTTTCTTACTATACTGCGTGCTGTATATAAACTTTT